CAAACTCGAAACTAAAATAATTATTTTTATTAATTACTGAATGGGATATTACACATAGTCGGCGCGGTACACACGGTCTGACCTCCAACACCCAAAGTCGAAACCTGCCGGGAAGAAGAAGTAAAAGATGGTCCCGCCTTTTGAGCCAACTGTTGTTCCACAAGGATAGCCCATTGGCGAGCATCCGATATCGACTCCGGACGAAATAAGTTCAACATATCTCGGATTGTCACCCTCAAGCCTCCAACGTAACGCGAGACCAACTGTTTTTTTGTCTCTCGTAGCTCGACACGGGTCAATAGCCGGTAGAACTCATTTGTGTAGTCATTCACCACCCGTGTCCCTTGACGTAAATTCTGCAATTGTTGATACACGATACTATCATAATTGTAAGGCACAAATTCACGTTCTACATACTAATGAAACTTCATCCAAGATGATATCTCGAGTTTCCCTTGACGATGCCGCAAGCTGGTGAGTTGCATCCGCCATGTTGCCGCCCTACCCCGAAAACGTGTGGCGACCAACGAAACGTGCCTCTCCTCTGAAACTGCTTTAAAATGGAGGACGGCCTCTACCGAGGCCCACCACTCGAAAAAATCCGACCCGTCTACAGCCCTTGCAAACTCAGGAATCTCAACACGAAACCCTTGTTCCCAACGTGACTCATCGCCCCCTTCTATCGGACGTCTGCCGTCACGTCGGTTCTGCCACCCTGTCTCATCGTCATCACGGTTGAAGGATGCCCCGCGTCGCTGATGGGGTTCCTCCCTGAACCTCCCCTCATGACGGTAGAGCCCGTCTTCTTCGAAATGACGACCGTCGCGGCGCTGCTCCATCTCTGTCTCCGGACCTGCTCCCCGCCCCCACTTGTGATTCATGATGCCCCCACCACGAAAGCCCCGAGCATCACGATCGCTGTTGTTGTCCTCTGATTCGGAGAGCACGACACCCGCTGGATGCCGCCATGGACCGTCGGGGAACGGGTTTTCCATACTGAGCGTCACGTCGTCCTCCTCGTCAACTGGACGGAGTCGGTGTTGGACACCGGCGGGGCGCCCCGCCAAAGCCACGTCCCCCGCGAAACCCTCCGCGTGCGCCCCTGTAATCGGCGTCGCGGTTCGCACGTACCTCCTCCATCATTGTACAATCTCCTTGACCCCCGCAGATAGGTCCGTAAATCGCTCATTCATCCCTTGAATTCGATCGTCCATCCTCTGAAATCGGTCATCAATGATGTTGTCGGTCATGGTGTTCCTCTTTGGCGGCATCGTGGATCGTCGCTGGTCTCTGGATACCAACTGATGTGGAACGTAATACGAACGAGAAATAAATGAGATACTCTCTCAAGGAATTCATGTAACTCAGATAAAATTCATCATCAAAAATTGTTCTCTTATGTTTCTCACGCTCCTAATATAAAGAAAGAGTCTGATCTTGTCAAACAATGCAAGATAATTATTTCCTACCAAATAAATTACCCAATTAAAGAAATAAATACCAAATACGAAAAGGAAAAATAAGAATAAATAAATAAGCTAAATGCGGAGCCGATCGTATTTATTCAAATATGCTAAGGTGGTCTCGTCTCCATTAATTACCCTTTTTATAATTGGTCGAAAGACATGTTGTTGGGTCGAGGAAGTTATCGGGGGACTCCCAGTGACCTATAGAGCTGCGCCCCTGCAGCCAGAACCAGTCCCAGCAGCCAATGGTCGTGCCAATAGGCACGTGAGCTACCCAACAGCCAATGGTCGTGCCAATATTCACGTGAGCTACCCAGTGGCTCAACCGAGTGCAGGGCCGAGGTCAGCCGCAGCACCAGAATGCAGCGGCCGCGCGTCTGCTGCCAACTGCGGTCTGACCCGAGCCACCGACTAGCTACCGGACTGCACCAGCCTAGTCAGAATCGGGCTAGAGACAAGCCCGAATGCAGTTTTATTTTGTGTTGAGCAGTCATGAGCATCCCGAGCCATGTTTAGCATTTTTATAAATTTTCTCGTACCTATAAATGATTTTTCGAGACCAGGCTAATTACATATTTTTAAAGAATAAATTCCGAAGAATTTTTATAGAGTCTGAGTCCACAGTTCCAACATCTAAGTCAGAACAGAATTGTATAGGTCATGAACATTAAGCTAAGAAATTCTTCAATTGGTAATTCAGTTTACCGAGTCAGAGTGAGTTATTTATCCAGATATCGCTTAATTATATGTAGATCACGAGGAGTCGAGCCCTCGAGTTTTCACATAAGCGACACTCATCCCAGTATCAGAACCAGATTATCCAAGTGAAGAAGTCTATCTAGTACATCATTGTGATTAAACATTTTGGTATTTTTGTTTGCCGTTATTTGCATGAATTATGTGTTTCCAGTTTTTCAATTTTTATGAACAATTTTATAGTTGTTCCTAGATCAGATATATGTCGTATGCTAGCTAGTACTCCGAGGGGTACTGCAGTACCCCGACGGGCTAAGTAGACAACAGTTGTGCCTGAGGAGCAGTACTACGACGGTTGTCAGAATTTCAGTTGCGCCTGAGCAGCAGTACTCCGACGATTATCAGAATTTCAATTGCGCCTGAGGAGCAGTACTCCGACGGTTGTCAGAATTTTAGATGCACCTTAGGGGAAGTACCCCTTTGGATGTCAAAACTTTATTTGAAACCATTATTTGTGTATTATATCTGCTTACAAGCGTATCTTTTGTTTAATTCGAATGTTTGTACTATACAGACTCCAGATGAGCCCGTTGATTATTATGCTAACCCCGCACACCAACCTTTCAGGTTAAGCAGCTGGATAGGCGGCATATGAGGTAAAGCAGCGTGGTCATTGGTTATTAGTTATATGTTTCAGTCATTCATTTATTTCAGACATTACCAGTTTCAGTTTCAGTAGTATTTTCAGACATTTAGCAGTCATTACCAGATTAAGTCTCAGTATTTTATTTCATGTCGAGACAGTGCATATTTGAATTTGACGATTATGACATTGAGCAGTTTGAGACATTATGCATGTTTGCATGAGTTTATTTTCCGTCAAGAGTTAAGACTTTTTCATAAAGAAAGAGTTATTATGAGTAACGACCCAAGAAACGAATATTTACGTTCCAGAAAAGTTTTAAATTTTCTGGAGAATATTAGTATTTTCCTAAATCAGAAGTGGACGTTACAGACAATCCTTTTCACACCAATTTTCAGTCGAAATCAATGTATGCAAGCTTTGGTTCTAGTCGGTATGGGGAGGTGACTTTCGTAACATTGGTCGTGGTCGGATGCATCTAGCCTGGATTGGGATTGGCGCAAAATGAGAGATCTACTTGGAGGCAGGCATCTTTATCTAAGCCTATGTATTCATGGTTTCTAGGTCTTCTGAATATCACGGGCACATACTCATTGTCCACATCGTCGTTGTTTAGCCGGGTTAATCCATCGTCGTTGTTTAGCAGTCTTAATATAGATCGACAGATTTTGGAGTACAACAATATATGAGCGAGTAAATATTCCAAACAGATGTCAATCATGCCATGGGCAAATAAACATTCGAAACAATAGAACAATTTAGAAACGACAGAACGGGCAAAATCAAAATGTTCATTATGGGTATTTAAGGCAAAGGAAAATGTAAACAAAATGCATGTTGCGAATGCAATTCATGAAAATTAGTAATATCTTAATAACAATAAATCAACCCAATTTTCACAGTTCTTATTTATTTTTGGAAGGGAAAAAAACCACCAAAAAGTTGGAAGTCTAACAACAAAATAAGGCAGTCATTATGATGAAGAGCAATCCATGTTAATTTAAGCCTTGACAAACATCTAACGTTATACAAACCATAACCTGGGAGAAATGGAAAACAAGCCCAAATATCATATGTATCAGCATACAATAACTAGCATATAATATAACCCCATCAATTGGGAAGTCATTTGTCTCCAAATATATTGTCCCCGTGGTAGAGAGAAAGATACTCCATTTTATAAACTTCATTAGCATATCTCCAGCTTATGACTTTCCATATATTCTTCAAATAGTCTTCTCTCGCATTCTCATACTGCAGTTGATAAGCAAATGAATCAGTGATATTACAAACCAGGAGCTTTTGTAAGCCCATGAACTAAAGTAAACAACATATGACTTGCAAACATGATGAAAATATAAACATGCTGGGGGCAACACATGCAAATACGACTAAGGAAGTTGAACGGGCCCTCAAGAGAGGAAAAATGAGAAGAAAAAGAAAATGTTTCTTGAAGAAAAGAAAAAGGAAAGGAAATGAACAGAACAAAGTCAAAGCACCTGTAAATAGTATGCATGCTCGCAGACATCAATTCCTAACAGAGGAACCAAAGTAGGCACTTTAGTGACCAGTGGATCCTACAAGAAAAATATTGTCAAGGCAGTAAGAAAACTTCCAATTTTCTAAAAAAAAAAAAAAATACAACAATTCCATTTTATTTTATTTTCACCACACACGAGCCATCTTTCCATAGTTGCTAAAGGTGCAACGCGCACAAAGGCATGCTATGGTGCAAGGGCTATTGGAGCCTGAGGTTTGTGGCCCAAAAGAGGAAAAGGCAACAAGGAAGCGGACAAAAAAAGGAAAGAAACTAAAACATAAATCATAAATATGACAACATTAGATAAATTGCATTAAAATGCGTGGCGTGATAGTGCTATAAACAAAGAGAGGAAAAAATCAGAAAAACAAAAAAAGGCAAAATAACAAAAATATACGAAAAAATAAGAAAAGGAAGAAAAAAATGAAAACAGAAGAGACAAAAATATAGATATATTTGTGCTACGTATTCACTTATTTTGTAATTGGGAAGCATATCATGAATTTTGGAATGTTGAAACTTGAAGAGAAAGGATCAAGGATGTGGTCATTCATGATTTTAATATTTATAGTGATGGAGATTTGATATATTTGCAAACTTCTGGTAAATGCTCATTCAGTGTTTATGTTGAGTTAATATGGCACAAAAAACACCTATGAGTGAGTAAAGTTAGAACCCTTTGAGAGTTGTTGGATGCGCACATTTGAAATTTGAAATGGTGTTTAGGAGATGTGATGATTATTTTGGTACAAATGCGATGAGATACTTGCTTTGGTGTTCAACATTTGGTTGCAGAATTAATAAGATGTTTGGAACCCTAGTTCTCTTTGGTGCTCAGAATTCTTGAGGACAAGCATAATAATCTGGGTGTATGGAATTTTGATAGATGTCATTTTTCCCATCACAATCATCCTAACACACCCACATGTCACCCAAAATCAAATAATACCACAATTAGTGTAATATTTATCCAAAATATAATCAAAGTACCTCATGAATACTTCACTAATGAAGATGTTGAGAATGTGAAGAAATCATGATTTGAGATAGTGCACGGGCATATAGAAGTAGAAGAAAATAATTGAGGGGCAAGAGCTTCATAACAGAATTTGTGATAATGGGATCTTGCAAGTATGCTTAGAAATGTCCTCCATTTGTACATTGGTGGAATAACATTATTTAGCAGTTCTTAGAAAAATGGGTAGATCTTTAATAATTGGGTGATGACTTGTGTTTGCACCCCTCCTACTCCTTTATTGTTGAGGGACAACCTGCTGTGTACATTTAGGCTTACTAGGGGTATGATCCAGAATGAGTGAAGGGTGGATTGCTATTATTCTGGTCTCAGAGGGTTGAAATGGAGCATCTTCAAGTAAAACACATCTATATTCATACAAGGTGCAGGATAGAAGGCTTTGGTGAGAGTGTTTGGTTAACTTTTGTGTATGCTAGTATAAGATGATTTGTTCAGAAAGGTCCAATGGGAATTTTTTTAAAAAAATAAAAAATAAAATAAAATAAAATAAAAAATTGGGAGAAGTTGTGGTGGATTGGGGGATATTTTAATGATATAACAAAGAATAATGAAAAGAATGGAGGCAGAAACAAAACACTCCCCATGCAGTTTTGCCTCTTTTAGATAATTTATTAGCAGAATGGAAATGGAGGAGGTTCCATTTGAAAGACATCCTTTGTTACCTTCTGCAATATGAGGCAAGGACCTGATTTTCTCGAGAGATTGGACAGATGTTTCAGAACCCCAGATCAAATTCCCAAATGAAAATGGCTCTCATATCCTTAGATCCTCCTCAGATCATTGTCTACTTCTATATGAGGCTGAAATGAAAAATACAAAAAGTTGGAAAAAAAATTACCTCTGAGAGGATGGGCTAAGGAGCTTGAAGTATTAGAATTAATTGAGTGATTGGCTAAAGAGTACATTTGGGAATCCCCTTTTAAATTCAAAGAATGATTAAAAAAAAAAAAACAAAAAAACAATAAAAAAACACTGCATATTAGAATTGCTGAATTGGAAACAATCATTGCAGCTGAATAGTGCCAAAATCATAGAGGTGTACGAATCAAATGGCAAGAATGGTGAAAGAAGAAGGTAACAGGGACTGGGGGAAGTAGGAAGAATTGCAAACAGGATGATAAATCTTACAAAGAGGAAGAGTTTATTGGAAGGTTAGGTCAAGACACAAATGGCTCCGAGAAGGGGATAAAAATACAAAATTCTTCCATTCTTCTGCCGTTTAGAAAAAACTAATGGTGTGACTAGATACAAATTCAGCCCAAAAAAAAACAATCAAAACTCAAATTTAACTCAACTCCACTATCATCAACATTATGAATATAATTAAATAATATTAACCAATTATTCTTACACATCACATCAACTTTAATTCAATATTCATCGAATCACATAATTTTAATTACCATCATTTCAACCTCTCTCATAATTTTACATCAAATCAATTTTAATTATTTTATTTTAAATATTATTTTAATTTAACTTAAATTTCTACTAATAACTAATCATACCACTTTTTTCAAATTAACTACGATAAACAAAACAAATAATCAAAATCCAATCGAATCCATATCCAGTCACACCCTAATTCACACCCTAATTCGTTAAAATAACTTTAGAGGATGAAAATATTTGTGGTAACAGGAGGAGATAATTAATGAAATCTAAAGAAACTTTCAGCAAATATCTGGAGTAAATTTGGATCCAAATCGATGGAGGGGATACCTAATTCAATTTATGGAGATATTTAATACTACGGTTGGGCATGGGACTCGGAGAATTCTGAACCCTTCTGAAAACCAAACCGAAATCACTCTGAACCAAAAAATAATTGTCGACCGTTTGGCTTTCTCCAAACCGAACCGGACAAAAACAATAATTAGTAAGGTTCTGGAGATTTCACAGCTACCCGTACCGAGAACCGAACCTAATTGTCGCATAGCGTACTGAACCGAAAAACCGAATTATAACATTAGATTTAGATATGTGTTGTTAATATATTTCATGTAAACTCTGACCTTATAATTTGAGAATTTTTTAAATAACAATAAAATATAGTAATAACAATTAACATTCACTTAAGTTTCATGATTATCATGCTTATGAAGAATTTTTTCTGTTATAAATAAATAATTTAAAATTGTATTAGAAGTTGAAGAAATATTTAAACTTTACATTTATCCAAAGACGGACCTAGATGAGGTCCAGGGCCCCCCTCAATTTTTTTAAAAAATCATTATATATATATATACAAATAAAAATAATGCTATAAAATATAAACAAAAATGTGAAAAACATGTAGAATATAAAAATAACTAAAACTTAATTTCAATGCTATTTTAATTTAAAGTAATAATATTATTTATTTACTGAAAAGTCTACTAACAATCTTTAGATTTTACATTTCTTGATAAAAATTTTGAAATATATAATTATTTACTCTTTCGGTCTCTTAATTGTAAATCAATTGAATGATTTATCAAATCTAGAATTTAGTTGGATTATTTAAGATTTTTTTATTGTCGATCGATTGTATATTTAAATGTCGATATTTTGCTTTATTTTTCATGTAATCACATATTTTTTTACCTTACTTATTTTTAATAAAATGGTCATCTGATAAGCTCTCATCAACAAAAAATGTTATGCAACGTGTTGCAAAAGTTTGTAAATCAAATATTGAACAAAAAAAGCTTATTTTTTACATAAATTATAGATCTTAAATTTAGATTATGAAAACACGAAATCTCATTTTTTTTGTTAAAAAAAATGAGGGTGATACGGATTTTAAGATTTTAACATATCAATATCTATATTTATTTATAAACACAACTTTATATGAAATGAGTTTTTTTACGTAAACTACAAAGTCGTTATTTAACATTTAAAATTGGGCCCCCCTGAGTGAAAATCCTAGATCTGTCACTGCATTTATCGATACTTTTTTTGGCCTTATTCTATCTTATCTTATATTTAAAATTTAAAATGGTATGAAAGGTTAAAGAAATATTTTTTTTTTTTTTTTGAAAAACCTATATTTTGTTATGTTTGAATTTAAAATTTTCAATGTTAGTTGCTCAAATTAAGATTTAACTAAAGTACTTCTAAAGTTGATTTCAACATAAAATTGATATGATGAAGTATTGATGAATGATGGTTTTTTTATAAAGCATATAAAAATTAAATAACTAACATTTAGTGTTACGTTTTAAAAAAAAAAATCTTTAATATGATGAAGTATTAATTAATTTTTTTTTCGTATATAAAATTAAAATATATCCAGATAGTAATTAAATAAAGTTAAAAAATAATAATAAATCTTTGGAGATTCGAACCGAACCAAACCAAACCGAAAAATAAAAAACTCTGATTCGAACCGACCCGATTTTCCATTCTGGAGATCGAATTTTAGTGATCTATGAATTTTGGTACGGTTCTGAAGATTTCTCAATCTCCAAAACGTACCGACTCATGCTCACCCCTATTTAATACTCATAAAAGAGGTAGATGAAGGTGATATTAGAAATTCACTATGTGTAAATGGGCAAAGACAGTGAATTTTATGAAGAAATTAAAAAACTAGAGCTTGAAGGAGGTAAAAATGGGATCTTGAACGAGCGAGAGGGTTTTCTATCGAAAAAAATGGCAAGGACGAAGGGTCAGAAAGAGTGAAGGAATGATGTTGGTTATTTGGACAGTCAAACTAATTTTTGCGTAATATTGTTGCACTCAAATATTAGCTTATTTTTAACAGGCTGTAGTTGAGAAAAAGGCCTAGTAGAAATTGATGGTGCGTGTGTGACGTGAGTAGAACAAAAGGGTATCAATAGAATGAAGTGACATCACTTGGCAGTTACAACAAATTTCTTCCATCTCTCTATTTCCAACTCTTTTTCCCTCTCTCTAATTTCTTCCTTCCCAACTTTCATCTTCACAAAAATTTGCATCAAAATAGGAAAAGTTATAAATTTAGCTAACTTACAGGAAGCCCATTAAAATATACACTCTTTCACCTGAGCCCTAACAAAGCTTCATGTATGGATGGTATCATCCTCTGTGCATTGCAAGTATGCTTGAAAAATGTCCTAATAATGAGAATCCAAGATATTGCAAGTATGCTTAAAAAATGTCCCAATCATGAGAATCCTAGACACTACACTAATGAGATAATGCATGTATGCTTAAAAATGTTGAGAATCAAACAACTTTTATCCCAGGAGACAAATTTTAGATAATGTAGTGATTGATCATGAATGTCTCACCTTCTCAAAAATTACAGAAACAATAAAGTGACTTATGGAAATTAAATTGGATATGGTTAAAGCATATGAGAGCATCTTCAATGGTCCGTGGTTTTCTCTATTTCATTGCCACGTAGCCCCAAAAATCCAATGTGGAATTTAATATATAGGTCTTTCTAGATGCAGAAAGACTTCTACACATATTTCTCTCCACCAACCAATTATTATCTTAGATCTGTCAAATTATGGTCCCTCAAGGTGAAAAATAAATTAACATTTCTTGTAAAGACTTCGAAAAAAACACTGCCTACAACTTCGACTCTGGAGAAGAAAATCAAAGCAAGAAAACATATGTGAGTTGTGTGGTGTGTAGGGAGGCTGTTTAGAATTTAGTACATATTATTTTTTTATGTGTGACAAAGCTAAAAAGTTTGCAGATGGAACTTAAGAAAGGTGGATCACAATCTGTGAAGGTAAATCCACTAAAAATTATGCAAAGAGGATGTAACAACAATTCCTCTGGTGGCTCTGGAAAGTGAGGTGTATTTAGGTGTTTAAGAAAAAATGGCTTAAGATACAATAGACTATGCTTTGAAAGAATGGCTTAGATTTTCATAAATCGCTATGCAAAGAATGTACGCTTGGGAATAGGGTTTTTATGGTTGCCTGTTGGATGGAGATTGTTGAAACCTAGGGACCAGTACATTTCCAATCTTTTGTATGGTTTTGAATCTTATCTCAACAACAACTCAGGCTTAGAAGCCAAGATGAAACTACATTTTTTGTATTTTTCTATTTTTGTTTATGCATTTTTAGCTTACTAGGCTGTTGGATAGCTTAAATCTTCACTTTCAAGTTGTTAGTTTGGATTGTATACCAACTAGAAGAACTGTGCTTATAGCTTGAGGAGCTTTGCTTCGTGTCACCTTGGTAAGCTTGTAAAGCCAAGGTAATTAATCTCCCCTGGGGGTTGGGTTATGTTGTATTCGGTTCAATATGAATGAAACTATTATCGTTTGAAAAAAAAAAAAAAAAAAGGCAATTGCATCAAGAGTTACAATGTTTTCATTAAGACGTCAGAGCAAGTATTAAGCCCTCAGATTTCTCAATTGGTATTCGTCGTGAGTAAGCAACAAAAATTAGACGTCTCAAGTAGAAATCAAACCAAGAGAAAATGTTGCTATGATCCTTAGAAGAGGGAAGGAGGTGAAACAAGAGTAAAAAATTGTGGATGAGAACATAAATGATGAATACGATACATGTTTGAAATCTCGACCGAAAAAGGTAGGTAATGCTCAATTTCAAGCAAACCTAAAATAGTGATTCCACCACCTGCTTTTGGCACATTGGCAAGAGCAAAAAAAGAAATAGAGGAAAATCAAGAGATAAGATAAAAGAATTGAGGTACAAGAGTTTCATAATAGAGTTTGTGATAGCACATGGGAACAACATGTAGCATGTAGCTGGAGCAACTAGACTTGGGCTTCATGGAATATCTTAAAGTCTTAACTTCTATTTACATTGGACTATTTTTGGATTCTATTATTCTATTATTAGTTATCAGATAATATTACTAGGACTTCTATTTTTAATTTTACTGGAGTAACTACATGAGAGGTACTGCTTCCCTTTATTCAAGAGGAAACATAAATAGGAGGAAAAGAACACCATACACCAATAAAAGAACACCATACACCAATACCACTCGCCCTTTTTCATCTTTACATCTCCATACCCATCTTTCAAAAACTCCATCTTCATCTCCATGCCTACTTTTCCAATGTATAGTGAACAAGTTCGTACTTTCTAGTTGAAGGATTGTATGACATTATTATGTAGGTGTGAGATCTAAAGGCTTGTTTTTTATTCAATGTTCATGAGAGTTTGAGTATCTTTTGCGTATCTTGTTTATGTTACCTTGTTTTATTAAATAAGTGGCCAATTATCTATAGTCAAATTAGAACGACAAATTCGTAATTGTTCATTTGTTTTAACAGTAGCAAATGAAATGGATATGTGAATTGATATAGATCGTCAATGAGATAAGTGATCTAATTTAAATGAATCCTGGCTTCTCAAGTTTTTCAATCAGAATTGGGTCTCTCTAGTTCTATGTCCTTAATGCTGTCAAACATTAAATCCTACAAACTTCTCTAGGGTTATCTTTGTTATTAGAATAGTAATAATCTACGAGCTTGTTTTGGTTGGCGATAAAGTTAGGAGAGATTGGTAACTCGGTGGTCGTTGGATGAAAAACCAATTTATTGGTGAAAACTTGAATTTTATTATTTCATCGATGATCAATTAAATGTATCAAGATGGCCTTTTTCATCGCTTTTCGAGATGAAACTCTATTCTTTAAATTCTAACCTTGTGTCAGGACCTACGGGTCGAGGGACAATCTCAGGTAGATAGATTGATAGACAGTTTCTATGGGGCGTAGGCCTCCCAAAAGGTAACGGAGGCGTGCAAAGGATTTGAATTTTATTATTTCATCGATGATCAATTAAACGTATCAAGATCAAACATATTCTTTGGTCATAAGCTTCTTATTATAATGTTCTCTCTTGTTTAATTTGAGTTATTTCAATTGATATTTATAAAGATTATTAATAATTTTCAAATTACTCCATCCTAATATTATAGGAAACACGTAAATTCCAACATTCCCAGTGGAGACATCATGCTCAACCAATACTCGTTTGTTTACAGTAGAAAATTCATTCCAACTATTTGACACACATCAAAAATCTTGAAGCCAACATTGTTTTTAAAGTTTTTATCACTAACAAGGAGTACACCATACTCAGTGTTATGCAGTTGACTTAAACTACTAATAAATTTCTTGCTACAATAAGAATCACTTCACTTACATCATTTGCAGTTGTCTCAACTATTAGACGCTTGATATTTTGGCAATCCACACCAAGCCACTGGGGAATTAAAAAATAACTTAAACATTCTGAATATTCACTAGCCAATAAATGCATAGCATGGAGTGTTTATATAAGCATACATGCAGAAATCTACTGTAAAAACATGACAATAATGTAAAAACACACAGTAAACTTACCACCCACCCGGAACCTGGCAATGCTGCAGCTTCTGTAGTCATCTTCTGTTTTAAAGATTCCAAGCATCCGAAGTTTTTCTTAATAGCCCAGCATAAACCATCCCTCGGAGGCTCGCCGCCCCTTTCCTGAAGAAGAATAATTAGCTTTCACAAAAATCAAGCCCAATTATCCTAGAATACAATGATTTAATACATAGGTAGAGAAATGTACAAAAAGGAGCAAGCTTACACGGCAAGGAGCAATGCACTTCCAGAATAGTGAATGATTTATGTGCCCTAAACAAGACATATCAGAGTTAAACAAATGAACATCCTAATTAAGACAAACCAACAGGAGAGAATGTTTCCGTATAATCAGAAACAAATAAGTTACCTCCTGCGTTGAGCTTGAGGGCCTCCTGCAACTTCACGACGGCAGAGGCATCGCCGCTAGCGGTGGCGCTATCGAGCTGGTCCAAGGCTTTATTGTAGTTAGTGACGTAAGCCTGGTGGTGTTCCGTGTGGTGGAGCAACATGATATCGTTGCGGATGGCGGGCTCGTAGTCAAGGTAGCCATACTCCAAGGGCGGCAGGGACAAACGCTGAGTGGCATGAGGGTTGCTAGGCGGTTTTGTGCTCAGGCGTCGGAGGAATAGGGTTCGTAGATACATAGTAGCTAATTTTGTTTTGGAAGGGGAACAAAAGATACAAAGAGATCTTTGACTGGGTAGCCCCACTGTTTTGACCACATACCAACAAGTAATGCTAACAGTAATGCGGCTCACCTATCCACTATGGGCGCATGTTAATATGTTTATAGCTTTCAGTAATTATTTCTTTTAACATATTAATATCACCAATGTGTGCATGCCACATAAGCGGTAGAAATATTTACACGTGTCCACCGTGGGTAGGTGAGCATTATCCTCAAAATTAAAGTGAAAAACAATCTCATTTAATCTAATGAGATCCCAACGGAATTACTCGATTTAACAGAAAATGCGTCAAAAATCAAACAATAATCAAGTGACAAAAAGAAGACCAAACTTTGCACAATATAACTATTTATTGATTCACACGAATTATATCCAAGTTCAAATATATAAGATCTCGCTTAAAGCCCAAGAGCAAAAAATCGTACTGTGAACAATCCAAAGGCACCAGACGGAGGGTTCTAGGGATGAGACAAAGATTATTTCTTTAATCCCTTCTGTGATCACTAAGGCCATGAATAACAAGCTGGTTCAAGAGGTCACTGAAGCTGAAATTAGCAAAGCCTTGTTTAGTATGCACCCTCAAAAGGCACCAGGAATAGATGGGATGTCTCCTATTTTCTTCCAAAAATTCTAGCCTGTCATCAAAGCTGGCCTATGTAAGGCTATTTCTAGCTTTTTTAATCCAGGCTGTCTTCTTAAATCTTGGAACCATACATTGATGACTCTTATTCCCAAATGTGTGAATCCTGAGGCTCTTAACAACTACAGGCCCATTAGTTTGTGTGGGGTAGCCTATAAAATTATCTCAAAAATTCTGGCTAATAGATTGAAAGGCTACCTCAATTTGGCGATTGGCCATAGCCAAGCTGCCTTTATCCCAGAGAGCCAGTTGCTTGATAATGTCATTATTGCTCAAGAGATCATGCATTATTTGAATAGACATAGATCTGGGAATTCAGGGTACATGGCTGTGAAAATTGATATGATAAAGGCATATAACAGACTAGAGTGGAACAGCATTGTGAAGATCTTGTTAAAAATGGGGTTCCATCAGAAATTTGTGAAATAGATTTTATGTCTGCATTTCTACCTCTTTCTTCTCCTTTAATGTCAATGGCAGGGTGTGTGGCTCGGTGAAACCCACAAGGGGAATAAGGCAAGGGGATCCATTATCCCCTTACTTATTTATCCTTGTGGCTGAGGCTTTATCCAGATTAATTACTGAAGAAGTGAAGAGAAAGTGCTTTAAAGGGGTGACAATTTCCAGAGGGGGGACAGTTTTCACTCATCTGTTGTTTGCGGATGATTCACTTTTTTTCAGTGCAGCTACTGTTCCCCAGGCTGAACTTTTGCTGGAAATCTTACAAAAATATCAGAACTTCACAGGACAAAAGGTCAACCTCTTAAAATCAGCTGTCTTCTTCAGCAAAAACACTACTCCGCAGCTGCAACACCAGATATGTAATGTCCTTGAGGGAATTAGTGTTCACAGGTCTTCTAGATACTTGGGTATGCCTTTTGGGATTGGCAGATCAAAGAAAGAAACCTTTGACTTTGTTCTAAATGCTGTAAAAAATAGAATTATCAATTGGAAGAACAGGTTCTTATCAGCTGCTGGAAATGAAGTATTAATCAAAGCATTGCTCAATGCCTTGGACGTGTTCATAATGTCTTGCTTCTCACTACCTGTTAGTACTTGCAAAGAGCTCTCAAGTTTGTGTGCAAAATTCTGGTGGAGTTCAGGCGATGCTCAGAAAGCTAGCATTCACTGGAAAGAATGGAGGAAAGTGGCAGTTCCAAAGGAATGGGGAGGATTAGGGTTTCAAGATGTTCAACTTTTTAATGACTCTCTTATTTTAAAGCAATTTGGAGACTAGCCACAAAACCTAATCTGTTTGTCTCCAGAATTCTTAAGGAGAAGTACTACTCTCAGACTTGCATCTTTGAAGCTAAGACATCTCAAAGCTCATCTTGGATGTGGAATAGCTGGATCAAGGTATTGCAGAGGCATAAGCAGCATTTCAGAAAAGAGATCAGAGATGGAGTAAGTACCAGGATTGGAGCTGATCCTTGGGTCCCAGGTCTTCAGGCTGACATCCCTAGAACTATTAATCCTGCAGGGACTCAGCTGCATTGGGTGAAAGATATAATTGCAGATAATAAAAGAAGTTGGAATGAAGCACTGCTTAGGAGTACCTTTCAGAAAGAGGACTGTGAAGCCATCCTCAAGATAAACACCTTAAATCCTGAAATTAAGGACATATGGGTGTGGTTTGAAGGTAAATCAGGTAACTTTACAGTTGCTGGGGCCTACTCAACCTTAGTGATTGATAATGTGCTTAGTTGGGACAACCCTGAGAACAACAATGCAAGGTGCAGAGATAAAAGAGCTCGGGAGAGATGCTGGAAGCTTAAAGTCAAAGGCAAACTCAAACATTTTGTCTGGAAGTGCTTCTCAAGAGCATTACCAGTATGCCAAAATCTTAACCGCAGAGGTGTTGCTGTTGACAGCATTTGTAAGGGTTGTGGGGCTGCAGAAGAAACAGTTCAGCACTTGCTATTCCAATGTCCGAGGGCTCAACAGATTTGGAAAATTTCCCCTGTTTCTTGGAATCATAATCTAAATGTTGGGTCCTTTAAATAATGGTGGTGGACTATTTCTTCTTTGGATAATTCTGATGTTTCTGAAGAGAGAATCCAACTCTCTACATATCTCTTATGGTGGCTTTGGAAAGCCCGTAATCTGTGGATTTTTCAAAATAAATGGCTGAGTGATTGAGAGATAGTGCAAGCAGCGTGCAGGGATTGGTCTGAATTTGAGCAGTTGGGGTAACATTGTTGTGAACTTGGCAGAAGGTGAAGTCTAGGCTCCTTTTGGTTCAGTGGTCTTCTTTCTTTTGTTCAAGTGTTCATAGTATTAGCTTATGTGCTTTTGTATTGGTCTTTGGTTGTATTTCTGGAGTAAGGTTTCAAATGTTTGAGTTTGCTTAATCCAGGGCTTTTTTATGTATTTGAGTTTAGGCCGCTTGATGAAGCGGTTCTCCTATGTATGTTTTGTTTGGTTGGTTATGGGCTAGTTGGCCTGCGTTTGTAAGACGTTTATTCCTTTATGCTAATAGAGGTTCCAGCTTTCGTTGCGAAAAAAAAAAAAAAAACAATCCAAACATTTATGGATTTCCAAACAAGGCTCAACAAAAGGAAATGGATGCCTATGTATGAAGACAAATCCTAACTCTACTTTACCTTGCATGGAGACAAAGTGTGGACCCTATTAATGCATTGATTCAGCACCCTTTTGCATCGTCAGATTAGTTTTGGATAGAATATGATTCACCCTTCATTTCCTATATAAATACATTTAGGAGAGTTAGTTTCCTAGGTTTTCACAATTGTAAAATATTTTCCAGCCGTTACATCTTTATTAAGAATGGAGAGTTTTAATGTTGCATGAAATCTGTGAAGCTTCTTAGATGATTATGCTCGGTTTCTTTCATGGTATTAGAGCGGGATCTTCTTGTCTCTCACCATCTCTTTTCTTATCTCTTTCCTTTGTCTCCTTCAATACCTTTATCATGAGTCAACCAGATAATTCATCAGGAAGTGGTTCATCTATCATCATGTCTACAGCGACTCAAGGCTCCTTGATTCAACCAAGCAGTCAGCTAATTTCCACCAAACTGGATGAAACCAACTACCCGATATGGAAGCAACAAGCTATCACAACCATAAGAGGATATGGTGTAGAATGGTACATCAATGGAGAGACAAAGAAACCAGAAAAGCTAATAAGAGATGAAGACTCGAGTGAGCTTACTGTTAATTCCGAGTACCTCCAATGGGTAAGGCAAGACCAACTCTTAACCTCATGGTTGTTATCCTCTATAAGTGAAGGAATCCTAGTTATGATGGTTGGTTTGAACTCAGCTCAAGAAATCTGGGAAACCATAGAAAACAATTTTGCTAGTCAATCCTTAACTAGAATTATGCAGTATAAGTAAAAGTTGCAAACCTTGAAGAAAATTGGGCTGTCCATGAGGGAATACCAGACATAGAACTGGGTTGAACTGCCTCAAGAAAAGAACATGGTAGGTTGTAAATGGGTTTTTAAGATAAAAAGGAAACTTGATGGAAGTGCCCACAAGTACAAAGCAAGGCTAGTGACACAAGGATATTTTCAAATCCCAGACTTTTATTTTTCTTAGACTTTTAGTCCTGTGATTAAACACAACACAATAAGCATCTTTCTTACACTTGTAATCAACTACTCATGGAGGGTAAGGAAGATTAATGTTAGTAATGTCTTCTTAAATGGTGAGTTAAATGAGGTGATTTATATGAGACAACCACCAGGTTTTGAGGTCAAAGGGAAGGGGAACTTAGTATGCAAAGTAACCAAATCTCTGTATGGACTAAAGCAGCCATCCAGGGCCTGGTTTAGCAAGGTTAAAGGAGTGCTCAAGACTATGGGATTTAATGATTCAAAGGCTGACAATTCCCTTTTTTCAGAACTAAAAATGGAGGACATTTTTATCTTATTGTATGTTGATGACATTCTTGTCACAAGAACACACCACCATGAAATCAATGAGTTTGTTGACAAGTTTGGGAAGATCTTTGTCATCAAAGATCTTGGAGAGATGGAGCATCCCCTTTGAATGTAGGTTAAAAGAACTAATGAGGGATTGTTCTTGAATCAAGCAAGCTATGTGAGAGACCTGCTGAATAATGTAAAGATGGAAGATGCTAAACCTCTGCCCACTCCTATGATTTCTTCACCTCAACTTTCAAGCATGAAGGAGACCCTACAGTTGATGGAACTTTATACAGAAGTGTAGTGGGTGCACTTCAATATGTCACCATTACAAGGCCAGACTTGAGCTATTCAGTGAAGAAAGTAAATCAACACATGGCTTATCCTTTAGATACTCATTGGAAAGCAGTGAAAAGGATACTTA